CCCTGGTATCTGCACTAGTGATTTTGCATATCAGATTTTCTGTGAACGTTTGCTGAATAAATGAAAAAGTAAAATTATACTTCACTCCTAAAAGGAATTGTAACCACCTTATATTAAAACTTGAAAGACATTAAGAAGTAAAGCTGAAGGACATCTGGTTCCACAACGTGGCAGAATGAGCTAATATGGAAACCCTCATACAAACAGCTCAGAATTCTATATGAAATTCAATCCCACCCCAGGAGAGGCCACTAAAAACAAAAATAAATAAATACATACAATTACATTCCAAAAAATGTAATACAAGACTGAGTTTACAGAAAAGAAAGGGACTGCCCCCCAACTCCCACCCCCACCACCACCACCAAGGAATAAGGAGAGAACTAAAGACCAAGCATCAAGTGTGTGAGCTTATGTCCCAGGAACCCTGAGGATGCTATTGGACCTGAAATAATGGTTGAAGGCTTGAGTTTTAATACAGAGACTGGAGATGAGACTTGGATGGATGCGCGGTGGGGATGGGGTCTTTACAGAGCTGCAACCTCAGTGAAATTAAGACACCAATTGCATTTACTGGTCTGGGAAAAAAGTAAGGAAGCTGGTCTCTGTCCAGGGTTCCCATGAGAGGTTTTCCCATGAGATATTAAAACTCCAAGCTTGCACCTTATAAAGGGGTTTAAATTGACTCTATCAGTATGATGCAGGAAAACATAAACTGAAGAAAACATAAAGGATCCCCATGGAACACAAGTAGAGTTCCTCTAAAGGGACAGTGCCACAACCAAGGCCAGGAAAGATTTTTTGTTTTAAAGATACAAAACTCTGTTAAAGAAGTTTCAGTTAAAATAAAATTATAAAACATAGGGAATTATCTACTATGAGTGAGACACAATATAGATCTCAGTAGGCAGAAAAATTAGCATTCCCAAATACCTCAAAGAAGAATAATTAAAAAGACCACACATAATTACAGAAAATTTTTTAAAGCAAAAATACCTAGGAAAAACACCTTGAAAAGAAAAAAAAGCAGGAAATTTGGAGAAACCACCAAATAGAACTTCTAGAAATGATAAATATTATGTTTTAAACTTAAAACACAATAAGTAAAAGAGCATATTGGATATAGAGGGAGAGAACTGGTTAACTGGAAGATATGTCAGAAGAAATTACTCTGGATACATCAAGAAGAGATGAAGGGAAGGAAACGGGGAAGGTAAATAGACATGAATAAAGTAAGATGCAAAGTATGTTTAATAGTTATTCCAGAAGAAGAGATTAGGGAAAATAAGAAAGAGGCCATATTTGAAGAAATAATAGCTAGGAAGTTTCCCAGTTATTCTCAAGAAAGCAGACCCTTCCTGAAGTGCAGTTTGACAATAGCTAATAAAGTTAAAGATGATCTTCTGACAGAGCAACCCCTCTTCTAGGTATACAGCTGGAAAAAGTCTCATGTATATGGACAAGGAGTCATTTACAAAAAATGTTCACTGAAGCATTGTTGTAATAGAAAATCATTGGTGGAGCAGTGGCTCACACCTGTAATCCTAACAATTTGAGAGACTGGGGCAGGAGATGGCTTGAACCCAGGAGTTTGAGAGCAGCCTGGACAACATAGTGAGATCCCTGTATCTACAAAAATAAAACAAAATAAAAATTAGCCGGGCATAGAGGTGCATGCCTGTAGTCCTAGCTACTCAGAATGCTGAGGTGGAAGGATCACCTGGGCCCAGGATGTTGAGGCTGCTGTGAGCTGTGACCATCGTGATCATGCAACTGCACTCCAGCCTGGGCAACAAGTGAGACCTCAACTCAAAACAAACAACAAACAAGTACATTGGAAATGAAATTGTCCATCTGTCCAGCCACAGATAAACTATGGATTATTTTTTCTTACAGTATACTATTGTTTATATGAATTTTAAATATACAGAGCGCAATACTAAATGTTGTTACTAGATGCATGCAAAAGTAGATGCATGCAAAAGTAGTGAAAATACAAAAGCATGGAAATGTTCATATTATATCCACTTCGAGATAAGTATTCCCTCTGGTAGAGAAGAAAGGAGAAGGAATTGTGGTCTGATTAGCTGTATTTCTTTTTATAAAGGAGAGCTCTGGAGGCAATATAGCAAAATACTGCCACCAGTTTAGATTTGGGTGGGACTTCTGATAAGTTACTTTCTGGATATTTTGAAATATTTTGTGAATAGAAAGTTTTAAAATTAAAGTTAGATCCTAAGACATTTAGAACAAGAGCAAAAAAGAAGAGATTTCATAGGTGTTGACTTTGATGTCAAAAGAGATAAGTCACAATTTACATATGGATCTTGGACAAATCACTTAGTCTCTAAGCTTCTTTCTTTGTTTTTCTTTAGTTGATGTCTCACTCCGTTGCCCAGGCTGGAGTGCAGTGGCATGCTCATGGCTACAGCAGCCTTGACCTCCTGGGCTCAGATGATCCTTCCACTTCAGCCTTCCAAGTAGCTGGACTACAGGCACACGCCACCATGCCTGGCTAATTTTTTTGTTTATTGTAGAGATAAGGTATCACCAAGGAGCCCAGACTGGTCTTGAATCCCTGGGCTCAGGTAGTTCTCTCACCTCCACCTCCCAAAGTACTGAGATCACAGGCTTGAGCCACGTGCCTGGCACACCTGTTCCTTTTATTTCAGGTTCTTGGAACAAGTTATCACAACTGATGTCTAAATTTACCTCAGAAACTCATTGTCAGTTAAGACAAAAGGGCAACTACATTGTGTTTTTTAGTTCTTATTACTGGAAAAAGGAGATGTACAAGTTAACTGCCAAGATAATTTTTTTCCTGCCACTAAATTTTCGTGAGAGTTGAGAGACAATTTTCCATGAATTTCTCTCACAGATGGCATCTTCTAAACAAAGAACATGTTTGACTAGCAAACAGTCTTGCAAGGTAGAGAAAATGTATCCTTCTGGAGAGATCTAGAGATGTACCTTCTCAGACATGTTGGGGAACTCAAGATAAAGTCCTGTCCCTCTTTTCCTGGGAGACTTTTTCCTTCTTCCCTCTTTCTCTCTCTCTCTGTATTTGTGTGTAAACGTGGAAGGCAAATTTGTTAGCTTGCAAGTAGTATAAAAATCTCAGATCCCTTCCAGTTCTGACCTAGCAGAGAAGCAAAAGACTCTGAATAACATAATTAACAGTGTTTTTAAACATGATTTCACACTAATACAGAAATATTTTTCAAAGGACATTTCTTCTATCAACTTGATCAAAAGCTATGGGTTTGACAATGCAAGGAAAGAAACAGAAGGCAAAGCATTTGATTCCGAAAAGCTATTTCAATGGGAATTTCAAGATAACCTGGCTCAGCTGTTCCTTTTGATGATCTAAAGACACAGGAAAAAGGCTAGTAGTTCTTAGTGAATCCAGTGGTTAGCAACCACAAACCAGTTGTGACTTTCTCAGACATCAGGTATCATAGGGAGCCTTTTTTGAATGCCGTTCTCAGGTAATTCCTGGCTGAAGTATCTGAGGGTTTCTGGAAATGTCAAAATCTTTGCTATAGAGCAACTCCTACATAAAGGGTATTTGTTCACTTGACCACCCTGCATCCATTTGCTTATCTTCTTGAAGCAACTCAGAGTTTTGTTTGAGAATTCATCCATTCCATACACTCTCAGGTCATTGGTCTGGATAGGGTTTCAACCCAGCTCTCAGGAAGAAGCAGGTCATCAAGCCCTGGGCGAATCATTGCAACTCACATCCTTGATTTAGAGGTAAGCACTGAGATGCTGTGACCCATGCTCTTAGCATGAACTTGAGGACTTTGCCAAGAATATGGGGTCAAGGACTCTCTCTATCTTTTCTGCCGGAATTGAACCTGGAAGAATGTAGTTCCAGTAAATGCTGCAAATTACCTTGTGACCATGAGGGAATAGCCTATCTAAGAATGGAGTCAACACGGAAAAAGTAGACCCAAGACATGCAGCCAAAGAGAGAAACAGAATCCAAAAGGCATTTGAGGACCTGTGTCCAGTGATATCTGGAATCTTAACACCTCTGGATTGCTGACACGAACTAAGATATCTCTTTTTTTGGCTTAACCCAGTTTAAGCCTGATTGTCTTCCCTTCAACAAAGAGTTCAAATGATTCATCCTAGTTTTAGATGCCAGGCTTAAAAGATTCTGAAAATTTTGCAGTGAAAATTTAGGATGCTTTATATAATACCCAGTTTTAAAAACCCAGAGTTTTGTGCCATAAAGTTTAGAAAACAAGAAATAACTCCTGAAAACATTTTAAGAGCTGTTGTCCTCAACAAAAGATAACAGAGCCTCAATAAAACAATGTACAAATATACCTGGATATTGATGGGTTTATCCAAATGCATTTACAATGAAATGTATTCAATATATTATGCTAAACAAAGATGATCTTAGAAACACAACAAAGTTATGAAGAAAAAAGAACAAAACACAACCATTTTTAAGGCACATTGTAGGATTTCTTTTAGGTTTAATATAAGTGGTGATTTGCATGCTTATATTTATGTTAAACTATTTAAAATGGACAGTTTCATATAGTTCAACCAAATTAGTGAGGTAGAAAAAAGTCCAAAGTGCTCCCCCTTTCAGGCTTATTTAAACCAAAGACTATATTGTTTAAGAGGCCCAACCATTCATTTATCTTATCCAAGTATATCTGATTTACTTGTAGGATTACTAAATGCAATGCATTTTAGTTTTAAAATTTCACAAATTCATTCTATTAATTCTTTTTTATCTTGGAGGCATCCATCACATTTTATTTTTAAAATTATTTTATTTATTTATTTGAGATGAAAGTCTCTTTATGTTGTCCAGGCTGGCCTAGAACTCCAGGGTTCAAGTGATCCTCCCCACTCAGCCTCCTGAGTACCCGGGATTATGGCGCATGTCACCATGGCCAACTTGGGTTTTTGCAAATTTAAAACAGTTTCTTAAGATAGGGCCCACCTTCTGTGCAAATGCAGTGTTCACTCACCTGGATGTTGTACAGGGGTTGCCTTGGCGCGTTCACTTCTCTCAGCAGACGACGGGACAGGTCTCTCAGTTCTAAGAGTCTCCAAGCAAGCCGAGGCTGCAGAAGTCTGGCCACTGACTTGGAGGATCTAGATACGCTGCTTAGTCCTCGAAGTAATGTTCTGCGATCCATCTTGGCTAAAGCAAGAGCCATCCTGATTTTGGAAGTTTTCTGCACAGGTTCTCTTTTCTGAAAAATAAGCCTTTGATAAGTAACTAATGTGTGATTCTCCAAGGCATTTGTATAATCAGCTCTGGCAGAGACTGAGTATCATGTAACTGCGTTGTACTTTGGGCCATACATACAATTAGTATCCCATAATGAGATACCTCTAGGCAACACACTGAGTCCTTGCCAGGTACTTAAGTCTTTATATGGATATATGATTTTTCTTCAGGATAAATATCAAGAATTGAAGTCACTAGTCAAAAGACATACATTTTTCATTTTGCCCTGTGAATTTACGTCTTTTTTGCATTTAACTTTTAAAAAGCTCTTTCAAAAGTAAATAAATTTATTCAAACATTATCCAGTATTTGGGTTATTTAAACAACAATACTTACTCAAGACTGTTACAATATTTTTCCAGTTTCAAAATTTAAAATGAACAGGGCACAGTGGTTCAAGCCTGTAATCCCAGCACTCTGGGAGGCCGAAATAAGGGGATTGCCTGAGCCCACAGGTTCGAGAACAGACTGGGCAACTTGGTAAGACCTCATATTGGGTTTACCTAATTTGGGTTGGCCAAAATACGGCATTTTTTGCAAACAATATTTTTTTTAAGTTCAAATGTGCATTACAATAATGTTTTAGCATACTTCGTATTATCTTTCCCATTCTGGTGTCATCATGAATTCGTGGCTTTTTCAGAGACTCAACCTGTTCCTAATGAATATCATCTTTGTTTCCCTTTATGGCTTAATTGTTACAATTTGACAATTTCTTTTTTGTTACTTTCCTAGATACCTTTGAAAGAATTGTTATTTCTGATAAGTGTTTCTGACCACCTTTATTCTCCCTGCCACAAAACATGAAACCAACTTTTGCCTAAGAAGACCTCCTCGTTACTTTTGAGAAAAATAGTATAAGAAAGCAAAACTTGGTACCCAGGTGCATGTTCAGTGGCTCTTCATGGCTCTGGGAACATAAATGTGACAACAGAGAGGCTACTTACATTTCTTTTATGCAGAATGAGACTTTCCTTTTAAAAAAAACAGTCCCCAATTTATGATGATGATTTCAATTCACTCTTACCTTCAGTGAGTTACTTTTGATACTAGCTCTAGTAGGAAAAAATTTTAAATAAAAGGGTTTTTTTGTTGTTAACAATTTATTCCTTTTATCAACTATCTATGCTATATACTTTCTTGCAAACTATATGTGTAAATGTATTTATTTTATTACTTATTTTATTTATTTACTTATAGAGACAGGGTCTCACTCTGTCACCCAGGCTAGGGTGCAGTGGTGCGACCATAGCTCACTATAAACTCAATTTCCTGGGTTCAAGCAACCTCCCGCCCCAGCCTCCCAAGTAGCTAGGACTATAGGTGTGTAGTACCCCCCATGTGTGTATATTTAAATGTTTATCACAATTTTAAAGGTCTTCATTTTTTTCCTCTTGTTCTAAGGATCCTGGAATTGGTTGCAAAGTGTACGCATTCAGATGATTAATTTTTCGGCCATGATCATCATCTGAGCACCAATTCCAGAAAAGAAATTCCAACTCCCCACAACCACTACCTCAGAGACACAAAAAGACACATAAAGGTCATTACCAAAAGAAAAACTTAGCATCAGTTACTAAGGTTGGTTCTACATCCCAGCTTCAGTTTTCTCCATTGAGCACGAGTCTTTGAATGTATACTCTGCTTTCCCTTTTCAGTTTTCTTTTGCTAGAGCCATGCCCATTTCTTTGTCATTGACAGTTTTAACACTGAACTCCAATTTCCATGACCTCAGCTTTCTGTTATTCTGTATCTATTAAAGCAGGCTGTCAGAAGATCTTATTCAATCCTTTCTCCGAATTGTCTCAGAATTTGGCCACTTCTCATCACTCCAGTGCGACACCCAGCGTCCCATATTTAAATACCACCACATCTCTTCTCCAGACTGGTGGATTTGCCTCCTGAATGCTGGCCTCTTTTTATTCCGTTCAACAACTCGCAGCCGGAGAGATCTAATTAAAACACATCAGATCACATCTTGCTTCTGCCAGCTGCTTCAGGGGCTTCCAGCTGCGCTCAGTGTAAAAGCCCAAGTGGACACGGTGGCCTCCGAGGCCCTGCAAAGGTGGGCTCTTCTTACCTGTCTGGCCTCCTCTTCTTCTTTCCCTTTCCCTCCTCACTATTTGCTGAACTTGTTAGGCATCCTCCCACTCCAAGATTTCGTACCAGCTCTGCCTTTTGACTTCTCAAGCATCTTTGCACCTTAGTTCACAAATCACTTTCTCACTAAGACCTTCTTGGTCACTCCTATCAAAACCACATATCATTCTCCCTATCCCTGTACCCCTATCCCTTCTCTGCTATAATTTTTCCTCTCCTTAAGACTTACCATCAATATGCTATAGAGCTTATTTTTCTTTCCTTCTTTCTTTTTTCTTTTTTCTTTTTTTTTTGAGTCAGGGTCTCACTCAGTCAACCCAGGCTGGAATGCAGTGGCATGATCACAACACCCACAGCTCACCACAGCCTCAACCGCTTGGGCTCAGGTGATCCTTCTGCCTCAGCATCCTGAGTAGCTAGGAATACAGATGTGTGCCACCACACCCGGCTAATTTTTTTTTTTTTTGTAGAGATAAAGCTTGCTATGTTGCCCAGGCTGGTCTCAAACTTCTGAGCTCAAGTAATCCTCCTGCCTCAGCCTCCCAGAGTGGTGGGGTTATAAGAGTGAGCCACCACACCCAGCCTGTTCATTGTTTTTCTACTTGACTGGAATATAAATTGTATGATGGCAGAGTTTTGTTTTTGTTTTTGTTTTTTTAAGACATGGTCTCACTTGGTTGTCCAAGCTGGAGTGCATTGGTGCAGTCATAAAACACTGCAGCCTTGAACTCCTGGGCTAAAGTAATCCTGCCTCAGTTGCCCAAATAGCTGGGACTGTGGGCACACACCACCAAACCTGGCTAATTATTTATTTGTTTATTATTTTTTGCAAAGACAGGGCCTTGCTCTGTTGCCCAGGCTTGTCTTGAACTCCTGGCCTCAAGTGATCCTCCTGCCTCAGCCTCCCAAAGTGCTGGAATTACAGGAATTAATCACTTTGCCCAGCTATGACTGCAGAGTTTTATATCCATTTGGCTCACCGATTTTTTTCCCCCAGTGTCTAAAATAGTGTCTGGCACATAATGGGTACTCTATAATATTTATCAAAATGAATGAATGAAGAGTATCAGAAAATATAACAAATTAATCTTGAAAACTATAACAAGTAATACATTAGAAACTACTTAGAAAGTTTCCAGTGCACATTGTACTCTGTAGTTTTTACAATAATGGTAGTGCTCTACAAAAACAACTCACCAGAGACAAAAATATAATGGAATTATAGAACATTCTAGTTGCAGATCTGGCCTCATTGTATTGAGAAATCTCAATACCATTACAAGTAATTCCCAGACATCATTGGTACATCATTAGCCATTTTTGTCCTACATTTTATTTTTTTTAAAGTACCTCTAGAGATGTAAAACTCCAATGCTTTGGTATGGATTCAAACATGTTCTGCCTACAACTTCCTATTTTGTAGCGTAAGGGTAAGTGCAAAATACTAACAGAAAAGACACACCATCACCTTTCACAATTAAAAAGTCACAAAAGTTGACCCTGTTTATTACAAAAAGATTTATCTTATTCCAGTAAGCACTATCCAAATTAATTTTTTTTAGTTTCCTAATTGTAGCACACATTTCTTTGTTAAATGTAAAGGTTTACTATTTAAAATTTCTCCTATGGAAATCATTTGCAATGTGCAAGTGTGAACCTTCGAAAATTACTCTTTACTAGGGATGTAGACACTAAGGAGTCTGGGTTGGTTGGGACAGAAGGGGTGAAGTGGACCAGATCTCCAAAGCCACCATCTCATGCCAGGATTCTAAAATTCACTTCCCCAGCTACAACAAGAAAATGTCCTTGAAAATCTTTAGCCATGCAGAACTATTTAGTAACAATTATTCTGGCTATATTCTGGTTATATTCCTCTATTAAAATTCCACCATCACTCCCATCAAATCTTTTTTGCTCCAGGCGAGCAAGATGGCCTTTTCCTTAGTAAATATATGCATGGAGGGGGAAAGATTTAAATGCCAGTCAAACTATAGAGATATTAAATGTAATCCAATTAATAAAGTCATTTAAGTCTTCCAAAAACCATTTCCTTTAATATGTTTGGGTACAAACAATCATCCTTTAAAAAAAATTGCAGCGCTTACAATCTGACCTTTAAAAAATAATGTAGTTAATGACCGAGTATTAGTAATTTATTTTTGAAGAACAAATTACTTCCAGTCTGTTATAATATCCCTTAACTAGTCAGGTTTCTTGCCAATCTCAACAGCACTTTCTTGAAAGTAAATGATTGGAAAAGAACAATGTAAGTGTTTTGAAAATGAGAATAAGATAACCTTGATTATCTTCTGTTCTTCTCTGAGTGGGGTAAAGTTCTTCTAAGTAAATAACTTCAATGAGTTGGAAATAGGGACTTAGAGTTCTTTCTTTGAGGATCGGAATGTCAATCTACGTCACCATAAACCATGCTTATGGCTCTAGTAATAATGAGACAATTCAGAGGGCAGAAAGAGATGAAGGGAATTGTAAAGACAGTTGTGATTTCTTTGAGTAAAACCCCAACTTCTCTCGTGCTGGCAATGGTGGGAGAATCACAACTTGAAAAAGATGGCAGGGCTTTCCAGACCAGTTGCTGGCTTCCTAGGATTCATCTTGAAGCTTTCTTCATAATTATTATCACTACTTCGCCAGGCTGAGTCATTTGACATCCTAGATGGCACGTGGATGCTGCCTGTCTCTTTACTTGGTACTCCAGCGTGCAGCCAAGAAGTCTCAGTGTTTCAAAGGACTTTACAGCCCGGCTGGGGAACACAAACATGGGAAGCAGCTAGGCACCAAGTCTAAGACATGTCATTAGAAAACCCAGTGTGCCCTCTGAAGCTTTTAAGCCTTACCCTTTCCTACTTAGCTGACCTGACCACCATCTGGCTGCCTTCTAAGGATTAACCAGACTTTCCCCCACTTCTTACCCCAAATTCCTAACTCAAAAGCGTGGAAGTCCCACCGGATAAGGACTCCAGGCAGGTTTTATTGACCTGTGACCCTGAATACTAAAGTTTGTTAAGTATACAGCCCAATTCTGGCATGTTATCACATAACAAATCAAGAAGGACATCAAAGTATTGTATGGACCTGCACAGCCATCGCTTATGGACTCCCAGACTCTGGGAACCTTTAAGACATTTATCTATCCTCTCTGAAGTCTGTTGCATATAGGACTTCATCTACATACCAACAAATCTGAAGTTTTCCCTGCCCCCTTATCTCAACAAAACATCCCCTCTACTGATTTCCAAAGTTCCTTAGACAGGAACTACAAAGAAATCTTTGAATTCACCCATGACCTGGAAGGGCCAGCTTGGAAATGCCCCTCCTTCCTGGGCAAGCCAATGAAAATATCACATGTACTTATTTATGGTTTCTGGTAACTTCTGCCTTCCTAAAATACACATTGGTTCAAGCCACCATTTAACCATGGAGAGCACACATTCTCAGATCCTTCTGAGGATGGATGTTCCTGGGCCTAGGTCCTCAAGTTTGGTTCAGAACAAACCATCTTAAAATATTTTACAGAAGCCAGGCTCGGTGGCTCAGCCTGTAATCGCGCGCTTTTGGGAGGCTGAGGTGAGTGGATTGCCTGAGCCCGCGGGTTCGAGACCCGCCTGGGCAGCGAGACCTCATCTCTACAATAAATCAAAAAATCAGCCGGGAGTGGTAGCGCATGCCTGTAATTCCGGCTACTTGGAAGGCTGAGGCGGAAGGATTGCCGGAGCCCAGCAGGTCGAGGCTGCGGGGGCCAGAAGCAGCCACTACACTCCAGTCTGGGCGACAGAGTGAGACTCCAACTCAAAAAAATATATATATATATTTTATAGAGTTTGGCATCTTTTCACCAACACGTCTTAGCACTGTGCACCCAGTCACCTAAACTACAGGATCCCCCTCCTCAAAGACTAGACCCAAGAGAGGGAGAGCCAGAGGGAGAAAGTGGTTGCTTCCCCTTCAGCCCGAGGCTAGCCTTCTGAGTTCCTGGTGTCCTCTATCTAACCAGGCCCAGCCTCTTCCCATGATGGCTAATGTGGGAACATCCATTTACCCCAGGGCTACCGTCTTATCTTAAGGGCCACAGCTATAGTCTCATCTCAGTAAACTGGAAACTCTACTCCCCCTCATCACATGCAAGAAATCTGTTTCAACAATGGCGGTACAGTGGTCAGTGGCTATACAAGAAGAGAAACTCCTGAAGTCTGTTCCATCTTCTGGGAGTCAGTTCTACAAGACCCAGAAGTCTGCCATAGCTGAGAAAGCTCAGCAGGTCCTGACAGTTACAACTCATCAGTGATTCGATGATAAATAAGAATCCTATCTGTTAATTTATTTTTATAAATGTGTGGGTCTCAGTAGTTTGACTCATTTGCATATATAACAAATTACCTACTTTTCAGATCAAAAAGCAAAAAATTACTTTTGCTAAACAAGAGTTTAAGTATATGTAAACATTATTGGTGAATAAGAGGTTCTGCAAAAGTAGATTTTCTGAGTAACTAAAATTTTACTCACTAAGCACTGGCTTAATTTTTATTGACATGAATGCTATCAAAAATGTGTCTCATCCTTGACTTTCTTGAGGATTTGAATGGATGTTAACCCCTCCCTCCTTTTTCTTTCCACCCCTTGGCATCCATAGAATTTTATTCTCTTCTTCTCTCTGTTTCCCAACTTTAAACAATGGCATTGGGGGAGGGGTGTCTATCCTATGCCCTCGTATTGCTACACTCTCTCCTTGAGCAATGATATTTACCATCTTGGTTTAACTGCATACTATAGTTATACACTTGGTTTAATGATACACTGGAACAATACACTATTCACTGATGACTCCCAAATAAATCTTCAGCACAGACTTCTCTTGGGCTTCCAATCTATACATCCAACTTATAACACAACTCCATGGCTTGGGCAGGATGCGGCATGACCTCTTAAACTGTGATCTAATCATGCTCATTACCATGGTCTCCAAACCTGCTAGTCCTCATTTGGTGCTCTATCCTAGTTAATAGGATCACTATTCCTCCAGCACTCAAGAAATTCAGTGTCTTCCTTGACCCCCTGCACATTCTCTCTCATTCTACAATCAGTTTCAAAACATGTTACTTTTTCCTGACTATATGTCTCTTCAAAATTATCCACCCCTCTTCTCCTGCACTCCCAGTATTTCATCTGTTGCAAATCATTTTTGGAATGGAGGTTTAAAAAGTATACATGTATACTTTGCTTCAATTGATACTATTTCCTTTCCATATTAAAATATACACCCATACCATATTTATCTTTCCATTGTTACAGTTTATCTCAGTTAAGTTTTTGCACTGATTTAATTGTCATAGATTTTAGCTAAAGTATATTTAGGTATTTTTCTAATTTTACATTACAATTGTGGTTATGAAAGACTGCCAAATTTTTAATCTAACTACACAGTTATTCTCTTGAAATTTAATTTATCCATCTATCTCACTTTTTAGTTCACAATCTCTGCTTTCCACAGACCCCTTCCAGTGAATAAGGTTTGAAATTTGTTGGCTTTTTTTTTTTTAACTGTGGTAAAAATTACTGTGCTCTTAAGTTTCCAGCACTGATCTCAAATTCAAGCATTAGATAATTGGTATGATACTAAAAATGCAATATACTTTTTGGGTTCCTTTTGAAAGTTGTGAACTCACATTACCTGATGAGACTGTGATAATCTCAGGATGGTCGGGAAGTCATCTTTAAACTCATCTACAAGGTCCATGATTGCTTTCTGGATCCCCTCAACTACCACAAAAAAAGAGATTAGGAAAACAAACATATAACAAACAACAATAACAAAACTTTTAAAATATCCCCTAAATGACAAAAGACTGTAAAACACTTGGTCTGCCTCCTGGTGACGGTGAAGGCAAGAGGACTCAGGGATTTTATTTCCAGTTGTTCCCACACCCACACTGCCTTTACAACAAAACAGTGTATACTTTTTCCAGAACAGTTCTTCAACACCTGCCCGCATATCCACCCCACAGGTTTCATTGGCATGATGAGTCCTTGCTTGGGTTTCTAGTGCTTGGCAAGCTTGCAGACCTGGACAATGCTCGTCTTACTTCACCATTACTGAGGGAAGAGGGTTGCCTTCCACTCAGGAAAGCCAGCAAGGGCAGAACCCACAGCTCTCTGCCGGAATCTTTTATTACTGCACAATAGACCTCTGAGAACCTCTACAGAATCTTCTGAAATCACTCTGGCATGAGAGAAGGAGGCATGTGTTTGTAGGCATAAGGAAAAAGGTGAAGTGATTGAAAAATGAACCATACTAAGGAGGTCTGCAATACAAAGTGAAATGTGTCCCAAATTCTGGAGTGATACCTCAAATAATAGATCATCTGAGAACAAAGGCCCCTTTGAAAAGAGCTGGCCTGTGCTTTCAAAGAAATGCTTCACATGTGATGCCAAGTGGAAAAGAAATCCCAGCAGTTGATTCAGAAAGTCTTCTGAACAGATTGTTTTCACTTCACCCAAATGAAGATCACTAGGTCAAACCCAGGCAAAACTGTAAAGTCTTTGATTTGTCCTCTTTGTAATCTCAACCTTCTTTTTTTTTATCTGTTATCCTCTGATGACTATTCTGATCAAACCTGGGAAGAACTTGATATCATGTAGAGACTTGAATGACTGCCTGGTTATATTTTATTTTTATTGGTTTATTTACTTATTTATTTATAACCTTCTGGGTTCAGGCAATCTTCCTGCTTCAATCTCTCAAGTAGCTAGGACTACACGTATATGCCACCACACTTGGCTAATTTTTAAAATTTTTTTGTAGAGGCAGTCTTGCTGTGTTGCTCAGGCTGGTCTCAAGCTCCTGGGCTCAAGCGCTCCTCCTGCCTCCACCTTCCAAAGTGCTGGGATTAGAGGCAGGAGCCACTGTGTCCAGCCTTGATTCATTATATGTTAGCATGGATGAATTTAGAGTTGGTTAACTCAAATTGCATTCTAATTTGAAACCTATATACTTAATTGTAGCTAGACCATTTTCTTCAGTAAGCATAAGACTGTGGCTGCTGGAAGTCTCTTCCTGGGAGCTGGTTGAAAAAGAAAAATCTTCAGCAGAAGATCCCTCTAGCATACGAAGCCTGCCAAAGCCCCAGCTCCCACATGTCCCTAGTCCACAATCTGCCAGAGGACAACCCCTCCCCCACCACACTTGCCTCTCCTAACCAAAAAAGAACCTGCTTCCATTGTGACCTGAATGCTTCAGATTACTATACTCTTTACATTTAAGTGCAACCTACTGTCAGAAAGAAAATTCTTTTTCTTTTTCTTTTTTTTTTTTTTTGAGTCAGAGTCTCTCTCTATCGCCCAGGCTAGAGTGCAGTGGCACGCTTATGGCCACCCCAGCCTTGACCTGCTGGGCTCAGCTACCACAGCTTTCCAAGTAGCTGGAACCACAGGCACACACCACCACATCCATCTAATTTTTTGGTTTATTGTAGAGACAAGGTCTCGCCAAGTTGCCCAGGCTGGTCTTGAAATCCTGAACTCAGGCAATTCTCTTGCCTCAGCCTCCCAAAATGCTGGGATTACAGGTGTGAGCCACCGCACCTGGCTTCTGAAAGAAAATCTTATTAGACGATGACAAGCACACCTGAGGAATCCATGAGATAATGAGACACTTTATGCATCTTATTGAGATAGGTGGCCATCAGCGTCCACCTCAAAGGAACTCCTGGCAGTCCCTTCTCTCTCTGGCCTTCTTCCCTGTTCTCCACTCCCCCTCACCCTCTAGTTCTTTATATCCAATAGCCTACTCCATGTCTTAACTCCCAGTTGATTCCATTCAGTTTCCTTCTCTTTCCAACAGTTCTCTCTCTCCTAAGCATCCTATGTAATTAACATCAACAAGAAAATCATTTCTCATGCTAATATTCACCATACACACAGCATCACTGACTCTGTGTGTTGTGCTAACAAAACCTGTTTGTCTTTTCTTACTTAATGACCTTCTCCCTGGAAGTGGAGTGTTGAAAAATGACAGGAGTGGTGGGATAAGAAAACTCCACCCCACCACACTAATTTTTATATTTGTAACCTTATCTTATAATATTTTGGTTTGCATTTAATTATACCTATAACTTTACACATCTTATGATCATTTAGATAATAAAGCTAGACAAATGAATAACAATGTCAGTGGTTCTCTTCCTTATTATGTTATTTTTACACTCTTAATAGAGTGCCCGTACTTATAAAACAAATTAGGAAACAGTTGAGTCAGAGTGTCACTCTGTCACCCAGGCTGGAGTGCAGAGGCATGCTCATGGCCACTCCAGGCTCGACCTCCAAAAAATTTTTATAGTAGTTCTATAGATTTGTCTTTATGTAAAGGGCTTTGTACAGGAAAATAGACTTTTTGATTTGCACACTGTTTTGAGGAAAATGAACATTTTACATAATCCAAGTGAAGGCAGCATAAGCTTAGTGATAAAAACAAAGAGATTTGGAGTTCATTCAGACCTGGATTTGAACTGTTACCTACCACAATATGTAACCGTGGGCAAATTACATAAATTTTCTAAACCTTTTGCTTTTCAAAATGTGATAACGTTTAATAGATCTTAAATGCTCAATACATTGCAGGTTTTGTTAAATATACATTGCCATTTTGCTTTTGGAAAGCTTGCAAAACTTGGGTAAAATGAATACTGGGTTTCATTTTGACGAACATAATAATGAACAGAACCTTTCTTGAGGTAATAATCATTGATAAATCTTGAGTATTTGAATTATTTTCATTTTGTACTGTTCAGAATAACTCTACATTAACTATTTTTTTTCTGTTGGCTATATTCCTAGGGTAACAATTGGTATTGGTAACCTGTTCGGATTTGCACCAAACTGGCTGGAAGCCTGATAACCTTCTTAACAGGATCCTCCCCCAAACTCACTTCAAACTCTGAACTTCATGCATCACCTACTGACCATCAAAATCTATCTGCCATATGGTACTTCTTTCAGAACTGTGGTTGGCCCTAGATCAGGGATTTGGACTGGAAGCCATCACCTTTGGATATCAACTTCAGAGAGATAGCAGTTGTACTGGTCCAGGACCATGTCCTTTAGCTCACAGATTGCTTTGAGACTGTGCACATCTAAATTAATGGCAAATGTTTAATAATGTCAAAGTAATTTTAAAAATCATTACCTGGTGGAAGGAAACTGACATTTATCAAAGGCCAGCTAAGCACTAATATTCCCTGTGGAGGCCAGATTATATTTATCTCCTTTAATTCATATAACAGCTCTAGGAGGTAGGATCATTTTGAAAGCAAACTGAAATGATCAAGCAATGCAAATGCACTGGCATTACCAATACCAATTGTTACCCTAGGAATATATCCAATAGGAAAAAAACTCAATAATAATTTGTATAAAATAGTTAATGTAGAGTTATTCTGAATGGTACAAAATGGAAATAATTCAAATACTCAAGATTTATCAAATGATTATTGCCACAAGAAAAGGTTCTGTTCATTATTATGTTTATAAAATGTGGACTCTACATCAAACTATGTACATTAAATACATTTGCAAAAAAGTATAGTTTATAGCCATCCAAAGTTATATGTACAAAAATGACACTTAGGAACCTAGTAGTAAAAATGAATGCTCTTTAGGTTATTTGTTCTAAAAAGTTGTGAGTAATAGCTAAAAACAAGCAAAGAAAACCTTAAAAACCCCCAAATAAAAAAATTACTAAGAAATATTATTTCCATATGATTATTCACTTATGACTTAATGATTAAATACCAAGTTTATGTCATGATTTGAAAGTATGGTAGTGTATCACTTTGCTTAGAGACTGGGGAATAGTTTTATATCAATCAATTTAGTTTTTAGGAGAGGTCACAACATCTACTATAAAAGACTCAGACAGGTTCTAATGTTGGAATCTGATGGGAAGCCCTGATAAAAGCCTGCAAGCCTGCTTGGGAGAGAACTCAGATTAAGTAAGGCATCCCACTCTAACAAGCAGTCTGGTAACAGTGTCCTAATCATTAGGGAGAGAAGTGATTCTGAGCACAAGCTGGTGTATTTCACTCAGATCTATCCCAGATTTCTCATCTAGTCAGGAGTAGGAGTAGATGGAATGAAGAGATTAACTTTAAGCAGTCTTCCTAACTTTTCTAAGACAGTGGAGTATAAATTAGCTATACAATTAGGGCATCCCTCCCACAGAGAGTAACACAACAAAAAAAAGAGGCATTCTCCAGGATTTTGCCAAAAATCTTTGACTCTTTGAAAGTGTCACTTCATCAGTAGTGGTACCGATTGCGAGGATGTGGTGTCCAGAAAGTAGCCAAAACTGAAGCACAGCCTGAAGCAGACATAGTGGTATCCATAGACATAGTTACAAGTGCCAACCAGATTTGTTCCTAACTAGACACCCATTGGGGATTTTCAAAAACACCTGGAAGGAGGGGAGCAGATTCAAGCCTTTGAGATTTGAAGTTTTGCAAGTAAGACAAAGCCAATGAAATGCAGGTTATTATCATTCTTGTGATCCCGTTTATAGCATAGGTTAACCAAGCTTGGGAAATCCTAAGTCACAAAAGATATGTATAGAAACTATCATTCTAATAAAAATTGGAAGCCTCTTGTGTATAAATAGGATGTGTGTAAATTGAATCATTTAAAATGTACTGCAAGAGCTAATTCTTTAAAAGCAATCCTAGATAAAATTATGTAAGGTAAATCTCCCTCTTACTATAAAAAATAAATAATAATACATATCTCGTGAATATGTTTCAAACCATATATACATATATAAAATCTTCATAAAGCTTTTATTCTAGAATAACTTCTTATTAATATAAAAGTACATATATTTAGAAAATGCAGTAAGAAATGTTGAGGAAAATGAAATGTGTTAGGAGATTTTTCTTCTTCTTGTTTGATTCAGGGTCTCACTCTGTCACCCAGACTGGAATGCAATGGAATGATTATGGCTCACTGCAGCCTTGACCTGGGCTCTGGCGGGCAGTTCTTCCACCTCAGCCTCCCAAGCAGCTGGGACTACAAGTATGCCACCATGCCTGGCTAATTTATTGATTTATTGATTTTTTTTTTGTAGAGATACGGCCTCCCTATGTTTCCTAGGTTGATCTAGAACTCCTGGGCTCAAACAACCCTTCCGC